GTCGATAGCACGAACGCACGTTGATAGTAATGGTAAAAGGACTGAGTGGAGTCCATTATCACATTTTGACAACACAATTGCTAATTACTCAGCCATTTATTTTCCCTTGTTTGCGCAATTATTTATTTATGTTAAATCTCCTTCGTAACATCGAACCACGGTCCAACGGAAACCGCAGTAGCCACAAGTGCTGCGTGATGTGTGGGCATTCTATACCACCAGGGACTGCAAAGAATTAAAGGTCAATTTACAACCGCATGTCGATAAAGTTTGTGTTCATCTCAATCGTTGTGTTCCTGGGTTGTGTTTCGCTCTGCTTTTCTGGGAAAAGCCTCTTAAAATTTCTCACATGGGTTCAGTTGTCAGAACGTGAATAAACAACGTTGTCAAATATCAGAGCCTCGATCAACTGGGAAACGTTAGCAGGTTAGAGTGTTACACAGCGTTACATATCTGGAGTGACAGATACTGATAGCTGATCATGTTTTAAGTCTTCTATTTTCCTTTGTCGCCTGACCTGTCGACAAAACCGCTCACGACAGCCAGTTCGACGTGTAGACGACCTCTGCAAAGAACGTATTCAAGGGTATCAGTTGTGACCAATCGCACGAACGATTGCTTCCGCGATGGGTAAGTACTGGATACAGTTCCTAGCCTGTTAGCGGCCTAACCGAACAGTGTTTGCATCGGATATTTGTTTGGTTAATTATCCAAAGCAATTATCTGATTGTTATAGAGCGTTATGTAGCGTTGAAGTTTTGCAATGCCCTGTCATACGTGTGCAAAAGCGGATAGATTTCAGTGAAGGAAAGTTTTACAAGATGGAGGGCGATACCTCAACATCAGCCTGCTTTGTGGCATTGAAAAACCTTAGGTACAGAGGAATGAGAAGGCAGAATTATCCGTAGAAAACGAGGAAGCAAAAACACACGTGTTCTTATCTATTTCAGCTGAGCTCATCGTAGAATTGATCGAGGAAAACGGTGAAGCATTTATGTTGCCCATTTACGAAGTTACAGTAGGGCTTTCCACTCAGATTTCTCCCATGAGAAAGAAACCTGACAGAGCTCTGTCTTTCTATTTTTGACAAAGAATTTTAACCTTTTAGCATGGCTAGTGAAATATGAGCTTATTCAGTTCAAATTTTGTTTTGTTTGGAAAGTGCGGGCTACACCGCACAAAAGAATTTCCCCCTTGGTGAAAGTTCCTCTCAGTATTGTTTTGTAAACAAGGTGTTTTAAGCTGACGTTTTCAAAAGGGGATGTTTTAAAACGAAAATATACAGGCGTAATACGTATAATCTAAGCTAATCTTAAAACACGTACGCAGCAAAGAGAACAGTAATTATGATTCCACAGTTCCTGCTGTGAAAGTGCGTCAAAGATCCGTGCTTGCGTCCAAGTGGTAAAGGAGATAAAATGCAACTTTAGCACTAGAAGCTATAATTGGATTATTTGTTTATGATCGAAACTAACTAGAATGGGAGAGGTAGGGGAGGGGCAAAGCCGGCGCGAGTACACTCCGTATTTCTCAAGAGCAGCTGAGGTCTTTGAGGAAACAACAACAAAGGCATCAACAATAGGAAAGAGAGCCCTAAACTCCATGTTTTTATTTCGCCTGAGGCAAGAAAGACTCGAGAGACTGTTTTTTTTTCTTACGGGACGAAGGCCTTGGGAACGTCAAAGCATACTAATAAACTGAATAAACACATGCTTGATTTGAGCAGTGAATTGTGCCAGGAGGGAAGACGGAAAAGTAGCCAATGTGTAGTGAAGAAATGTTTAGTATTACTTGACACAAAATCAAAGAGGAAACCGACCAAATAAGTCGCGATTTTTGTTTGCTAGTGTTGTCATGAAACAGCAGGCGAGGAAAAGTTCGACCTTTTACTGATAAAAGGCCAGGCAAAGGGCAAAACCAAAAGGAAAAATTGAAAAACAAGGCAAAAAAACTCACTTACTTCACCGCACAGTAGAACCAGCTTTAAATGAAATTCGCTCTACACATCGTTTCCATCTGTTGCTTTTAGACTCATATGCCAAAGAGTCCAAAGGAAAGAGAACTTTCGCTTCTTTTTTCGTGGATTCCATTTGAGTTGATGTTTTTTTCCGTGTTGTAGGATCCGCTCTTGTCACAACAGGCCTGTGGCTTGCCCTCACATGTACCTTCCTGACTGTCAACGTCTCTCAAGGCAAGTATATGTAATGTTGCTCTTTGTTTTAGTTGGTCATTTCAGCAGTTCAGATACAACATTTGCCTTGACTTTGTTTTAAAGTTTGAGAGCTTGTCCGTTAAGGAGATATGCTTCGATATTTTAAGTTATCTTTCTGAAGTTCAAAATTGCTTTAGATTGAATGAATTCTCAAAATGATAATCTTCTCAAGAAGAAAAACACTGAGGAGGTAATAAAAACTGAAACTAAACAAGGATGTTTACGATTTAGAGGATTACGCACCACAAGCAATCTTAAAAACATTCGCCAACTTTTTTTTTCAACATACACTGTCCGTAACCTAGCTTAATTCTTGTATCTCTTGGTTACTTCATGCTACAAGTAGATGTGAAAAACAGATTTTAGTGCTAGTCTCAGCTGATAAGCAACTGAACTTTTAAACTTTTTTGATGATCTGGCCATCACCTCGGCGTTGAAAATTTGTAATATAGAAAAGCTTAACGGGACAATGACATGATAGAGACCAAACTGAAAAGCCAAGAATTGCAACTGTGGACAGCTGTTTCGACCTGGTTGGGTCTCGTTTGTACAATGCAATAATATTTAGAAAGCTCGACAGAAGTCTAGAGCAAGTTTTACAGGTTTCAAGAAGAGTATTTTGAAAAACAATTTTTTCCCCTCAGCTTGTGAAACTGGATTCTTTCGTTGTGCAACTTCTGCCGAGTGTCTCCCCGTCAGATTCAAATGCGACGGACACGAGGATTGTGAGGACAGTAGCGATGAACTAAACTGCAGTGAGTATTCTAAGAAACAAACAATTAAAATTGTCGGCATCAATAGTTTTAAACCGTTAATATATTAAAAGAAAGGGAAGATGGCCGATGTTGACGAAGTTGGGAACCAGTCGCCCCATCCCCAGGTTCCCCGCGGTCATTTCTTTGTCGATTTTCTTCTTGTTCGATTTTTTAAGGGTTTTCTTGCAGTTCATGCTTACTTTAATTGCTCTGTTATTTCAGCGAAGCAGCGGACCTGCCCTACAGGCGAGTTCTGGTGTGGTGACTGGAAATGTATATTGAGGAGAAAAGTTTGTGATGGCACACAGGACTGCTCAAATGGACAAGATGAAAAAGATTGTGGCATGTGACATTACTTATATTTTAGGGTCTGGTACTTGGGGAAGGTTTTCTCCGGTGGAATATCTTGAAGCTAGGCAGATATTATCCACATTCTCGTATTAAATTTTCCATTTATAAAAGATGTCTTTTTATGGAAGTATAGAGATAAACTTAGGGCGGTGAGAGGAGAGGTGTCGGGGGAGAGGAGGGGTCGAGGGGTCGGAGAGTGGGGAAGCTTGCGAGGAAAAAAAATTATCTCGTAAGCGCAGTAAATAAGGAAACAAGATAGAGCTAGAATGGTCTCCGAGTCAACGGTCGAGAAGTGTACACCTGCGAACTCATGAAATCTCATGATTATTAACGTAGAAAGAAGATCAAATTTCTGCTTAATGTAGGTCTTACACTAAGATACAATATCTAACAAGAACAGAAACTTTTGGTGGTGTGCAACAAAGGACCTTGTTTCTTTTGCAGAAATGGAAGGCGTGTTCCAACACTTTGGGAACAAAAAGACAAAGCGATTTCCAGTTTACAAAACTGTCAAGGGCTTCGACATCTATTTGAGGTTTGTCGCCCAAAAGTGCACAGGACAACTGGTCGAGATCACGAGCAGGGACACCAGCCAGTACCTGCGAATAACCCTCCTCGATATAGGGCCCATTAGACTATCATACAAAACCTCTGTCGGTAAGGGCCAATTGGATCTTGCCATGCCATATAAGGCAGAATTCTGCGACGGAAAGAGGCACTCTCTGACGCTCAGCGTGTTCCGTGGTGTTGTGTCTTATGGTGTGGACAGAACCTCCCCAAAACGGTTCTTTGTGTCACGGTTGGCCGCGCCATTTTCATCGCCAGCTGGCATTGTCGTTGGCAAAGGGCTTGAAGGTTGTATTTCTGGTTCCACGGTGGTGAATCGCTTTAATGGGACACAAGAATATGCTGTTGGAATATCGTCTGTTTGCACTATGAAAAGTATGTATACCACTGGTTTTTAAAGTTTCCTTTGGAGACTGCAATATTCACTGAGCTGTAGTTCACCTTTTTAGTTTACCACAATAGAGGAAGTTTTCACTTTTCACTTTCACGTATGAAAAGCGTTGAAAATCATCAGTAGTTTTCAATTTGGAACTTACCTAACCAGTTATAACGGGAATAGTTGGTTAATGTCATGCTCTTTAAAATACATTCCTTTTTTCCATCAGAAACCACTACTCCACCTCCCAAACAACGATTATTTACCTACAGTGCCAGGAAATTAGCAACTTCAGATATATCAACCGGTCCAAAGTGTGAGCCACTAACCCTCACAGTCTGTAAAAGTCTGGGTTATAACAACACACAAGTTCCAAATCCTCTCCAACACAAGACATATCACCAGGCCGCGACTGAACTGTCAACGTTTATATCAAAGTTTCAGTCCTATTGTTCCCCTCATCTCGTCCCATTTCTCTGCCGATTGTACCTTCCTCCGTGTAGCCTGCCCCAGTCTGCCTCTCCTCCGTGCAGGTCGCTTTGCGAGAGTGTCAAGGAGGACTGTGCACTACTCAGCTCATTGGAGAGTTGGCCTGGGCACCTCAACTGTGAGAAGTTTCCACGAGCAAATGAGAAGGAAAAGTGCTTTCTGGGATCCACAAAGGTAACCTCCAAGAGGACAACGTTGATTAGAGGGACCTCTAAAAAGAAAGACATCCTCACAGAGACAAATACACTGAAGACAGCAACGAGCAATCAGATCAGTTATCCAACAAAGGCGGCAAAAAACGGAGAAAAAGTAAAAGGTGTAAAAACAGAAGCTGACCATACCACCGCAAATCCAGGAGAAGAGGCATCAACGGCACAGCCTTCGCTTAACAATGCCGCGAGAAAATCTGAAACAAGACAAACTGGAAAACCATTATCATTTAGGGGAACAGAAATGTCAAACCACACAAGACAGAACAAAGTGTCGGTGTCGAGAACAGTTCCAACAAAAACATCAGCCACAGACAAACACTTACGATGGAATGTGTCTGCTTCACCTACATCGTCTGAAAATAAAGGAGGTATGTACATCACTGTAAAACTTTTTCTAAACAAGTGACAATGATATTACTATGACATTAGTTGATCAAGGGGAAGGGTAGGGGGAGGCCGAGTAACTTAATGAGGGCTTTGTTCGTTTCTAAGCAATATACTGATTTAATGTGGAACCATATGCCATAATCAAGGGTTAAAAAGGTTCAAGAAATAATTAGCGTATCAATTTTTTAACAAGTTGTAAATGTGGGCCACATAAAACAGCCCCATTTGAAGATACAAAATGTAACCTTCTCAGGGTAGGAAGTGTTTTCAGGAAAATGCAAGAGTGCGTACTTTTGGGAACACAGAAAAGACAGTCAGAGATACATTTTAGAAACAAAAACGCCACTAACATTTTTACATGGTGTACGTAAAATACCATGGTGTTACAATCTTTAAAACCCAAGAAACCGAAACATTGATTTAACAATCGCATCTAGTGGCCCATTGTTGACTTACGCGGCTAAACACAGGACACTGTTTACATTTTCCTGCTGATTTTGTTTATGCAGGGAGTTGTGGAGGAGTGTTAGTGTCTCCCAAGGGCCAGCTGATGTCACCTGGTTACCCAGCAAGGTATCCGTCTAACACCACCTGCAGATGGGTCATCGCCCTACCAAGCGACTACCGTGTCATCAGTTTTACGTTTCACCGGGTGTACCTGGAGGAGGACCGCAACTGCATGTACGTAGCTTGACTATAAAGGGCCGAGTTCAAGTTGCTCTTCGTTTAGGGGGTATTAGAGGTTTACATAAGAGTCTAACACTGAACCGCCAATAGGCGCAGGCCTAACTCAGCGTGTTTTATCGGAAATCCGCGACAGGAATTTGACACGATCGTGAGCGCGTTGTTTTAAGGATATAATAATTAACAGATTTTGGCTTACACATACATAAAATTGTAGGTTTTGGACAGCAATCGTTTAGTATGTACTAAACAATCTGACCACTCGACTGCACGTTGTTGACTGTTCGCTCATAGAAAACTCAGGCTCGAAGTCTAATTTTGAATTAGTGCGAAGTGGATTTGCCATGGTTTGCGTATATCACATTTAGACGCGGGAGTCAACTTAAGTTAGGTGATTATGAATTTCTGCAGTTAACTAAAAAGCTAGTGCCCTATCTTTTAATAGCTCCATTCTTTTTCGAAGTCTTGTTGCTGGTTTTAGACGTGTATGTTGTTTAAGCTGGCGACTGGTTCGTTTAAGCCTGGGTTACACTAGCGACATAACGACATAAGGAGGACGTTATTTCGTTATGTTTGAAGTGTGAACATCCTGACATAATGACATAATAGCAACACAACAGCATGAACATAACGACATAAGGAACAAAACTGATGTTTTCCTGATATTTTTCCTGATTTGAATTATTTGTTTCAGTTGTTTGCTCGGCCCCAGTAGCACTTGTGCTATAAAAACATTACCGAGGGTAAATAAAGGTTATATATTTATATATATTTCTTTATGTATTTCGTTTTTGTCGTAATGTCGCTAGTGTCTACTAGGCTTTACAGTCAGTTCTCAGTTAAGTCAATGAGATTGTAAAACCCTAGACATAACGAAACGCTTCCATACCATAGAGACAGCTCATTATAGCCTCGTTATTCTTTGTGGAAGTTTTTAGCGATGTTCACTTGCCACCTGTAATTTTCTTCAGGTATGACTACATTGCGGTGTATGACCTGCTGGACAACCAAGTGGGTCAGCGGTACTGTGGCTCCGTCACGTCTCCCATTGTTAAAGATGTCAAAGGCAATGTGGCCGTTGTGTTGTTCAGTTCAGATTCTGCGAACAGCAAAAAGGGATTCATCCTCTCCTATGAAGGCCGCCAATGCCCCACGTCATCGGAAGTGGAGAACTGAAACACAGCTTTGGTTTGGGGTAGAAGACATGAGACATACATCTTAGTCAGCTCATTAATTCAATCTTATCCTGAAACGACTCTTTCTACTGTCACTCGAAAACTAAATTGACATGTGATCTTTATGTTGGTTTTCATATAGCTTGACCAATAACAAAAAAAGACAGGTTAGTCCAGGGGCGAAGAAGTTGACTAGTCACATGACTTGCACGTGCATTGAATGAGTTGCACAGACGGTTGTTGGCTGTTTGATTGGGAGGAAATCGAAAAAACAAAACATTAGGAAAAAACGCGATCGACTGATAACCGTAAGAGACCTTTCACATTAAGATGTTGGGTTGGAATCTTCATCTTAAAAAAATGGGAGGTATATCAATTCTAATGGGTAGTATAACACATCATAGAAACATAAGTACTTTTGTAACACTATTTAACGAAATGTTTCTTGCGTATAGCTCTCGGTAAGTTTTCACGTAGCGTTATGGAGGTTGAACGTGACGTTGACTTTAATGAACACCTGAGTGCTGTTAGGGTACCACTTTGCACGTGTTTAACAGAGTTATCTTAGCTTTAACATTACATTTGTTTTCAGCTTGAAGAGAAGATCGAAAATTAAGATTGGCATATGATGGAACCGTGACAGCGTGTCGGGATTTACGTAAAATAAACTCAGTCGCGCCCATATTTCTTCCAGTTAGTTCATCGGGCAAAAACTTTAAGCATTATGTAGTTCCTTTGGCCCTCTCTCCCTTAGTAAGTAAACCGAGTTTAGAATAACATTTCATTAAGCAGAAAAACACCAAGAAGATAAAGATCAACAACAAGATCACGATGGTGAAGTTATGATAACATTGTGACCACTTATGAACGACAAGCTTGAAATAATTAGGTTGAATTCTTGCAAAAGTCACAAGCTGTATCATAACAGCTCCTTTAAATTTAAATATCAGTCTAAATCATCTGTGAAGGCCACATGAAAAGCAAGGAATTCATAGAGAACAAGTTCTCTTACACAATTTTTATTATAAACGCTCTGTTACATTAAATAAAGATTTTATTTACAATATTGTATGCGCTGGTATTGGAGGAAGATCTGGTGTCTTAAGGGTAACCTCTCTCATTTTGACAAGTTCTCTGTCCATGACTTGTTGTCGTCGTTCTTGCTGAAGCCAGTAAAACATCTCGGTTCGATCCATACTAATTTTCTCCAGGTACGGACGTCCCTGTGAGATAAAATTATACCTCTTACTTCAGATAATCACGCTCTTTGTGGCAACCTGCCAAGCTTCTGCTATTTTCGACAGAAGAAACAGGTGTGAAGGAGAATGTCTTCATCGGTGCAGAGCAGAATATGTACAAAACAGTTGAAACTATCTCCCCCTAGATCAACTTGGCATCTAAGAAATGTTGTTTAGAGGCAGGTTGAACGGAAAAAAAGGTGCAAGACCTTGGGAGCAACAGTAGAACAAACAGACAGTCGCACAGCAAAGCTTTAAACCATGTCCAGGGATCCATCCGAGATACTGGCGAGAAAAACCTCATTTCCAAGATCTTGGGAACGAGGTTACGTGAAAACCCCCAAATCGAGTATATGCTACTCAAGTAAGTAATCACCTGGGATAGGAGCTGTGAGGAGTTTTCGGGATGACATTTCAATAAGGGCATACCTGAAATGTTACGGTATCTCCAAACTGACGATGAACGTTTGTCACTGCTCTTCTGACCTGACTTTCAATCTTTGACAGGCGCTGGGACAGATGAGAATAAACCACGTTAACGGAAACGTGTCACCTGCATTAAGAGTTGCAACCAACTGACACTGCCATTTGATTTAAGGTGATTCCTGACATTTGCAATGCGCATCCTTACTACGCATAATTTATGGCGTCATTAGCGCGCGCTCGTACACGTGCACATTGAAAACATGACGGATTTGCCTTGATATTGAGTTCTGTCAGTTGAAAAATGGCTATAGCTCACTAACGAGCTCGGGCACCCCAAATTT